TTCTGTATGGGATGAGGGTTCTGTATGGTATGAGACGTGGGTTCTGTATGGGATGAGGGTTCTGTATGGGATGAGGGTTCTGTATGGGATGAGGGTTCTGTATGGGATGAGACGAGGGTTCTGTATGGGATGAGACGAGAGGGTTCTGTATGGGATGAGGGTTCTGTATGGTATGAGACGTGGGTTCTGTATGGGATGAGGGTTCTGTATGGGATGAGGGTTCTGTATGGGATGAGGGTTCTGTATGGGATGAGACGAGGGTTCTGTATGGGATGAGACGAGAGGGTTCTGTATGGGATGAGGGTTCTGTATGGTATTAGACGAGAGGGTTCTGTATGGGATGAGGGTTCTGTATGGGATGAGGGTTCTGTATGGGATGAGGGTTCTGTATGGGATGAGACGAGGGTTCTGTATGGGATGAGACGAGAGGGTTCTGTATGGGATGAGGGTTCTGTATGGTATGAGACGTGGGTTCTGTATGGGATGAGGGTTCTGTATGGGATGAGGGTTCTGTATGGGATGAGACGAGAGGGTTCTGTATGGGATGAGGGTTCTGTATGGGATGAGGGTTCTGTATGGGATGAGGGTTCTGTACGGGATGAGGGTTCTGTATGGGATGAGGGTTCTGTATGGGATGAGGGTTCTGTATGGGATGAGGGTTCTGTATGGTATTAGACGAGAGGGTTCTGTATGGGATGAGGGTTCTGTATGGGATGAGACGAGAGGGTTCTGTATGGGATGAGGGTTCTGTATGGGATGAGGGTTCTGTATGGGATGAGGGTTCTGTATGGGATGAGGGTTCTGTATGGGATGAGGGTTCTGTATGGGATGAGGGTTCTGTATGGGATGAGGGTTCTGTATGGTATTAGACGAGAGGGTTCTGTATGGGATGAGGGTTCTGTATGGGATGAGGGTTCTGTATGGGATGAGGGTTCTGTATGGGATTAGACGAGGGTTCTGTGTGGGATGAGGGTTCTGTATGGGATGAGACGAGAGGGTTCTGTATGAGATGAGGGTTCTGTATGGGGTGATACGAGAGTTCTGTATGGGATGGGACGAGAGGGTTCTGTATGGGATGAGGGTTCTGTATGGGATTAGACGAGGGTTCTGTATGGGATGAGACAAGGGTTCTGTATGGGATGAGACGAGGGTTCTGTATGGGATGAAGGTTCTGTATGGGATGAGAGTTCTGTATGGGATGAGGGTTCTGTATGGGATGAGACGAGGGTTCTGTATGGGATGAGGATTCTGTATGGGACGAGACGAGGGTTCTGTATGGGATGAGTGTTCTGTATGGGATGAGACGGGGGTTCTGTATGGGATGGGACGAGGGTTCTGTATGGAATGAGACGAGGGTTCTGTATGGGATGAGACGAGAGGGTTCTGTATGGGATGAGGGTTCTGTATGGTATGAGACGTGGGTTCTGTATGGGATGAGGGTTCTGTATGGGATGAGGGTTCTGTATGGGATGAGACGAGAGGGTTCTGTATGGGATGAGATGAGGGTTCTGTATGGGATGAGGGTTCTGTATGGGATGAGGGTTCTGTATGGGATGAGACGAGGGTTCTGTATGGGATGAGGGTTCTGTATGGGATGAGGGTTCTGTATAGGATGAGACGGGGGTTCTGTATGGGATGAGACAGGGGTTCTGTATGGGATGAGACGAGGGTTCTGTGTAAGACAGGTAATTTCCGCCAAGACAGAATGAATGATTGAGAGGTGAGTGTTTGAGTGAGTGATTGAGAGGTGACTGTGTGAGTGAGTGATTGAGAGGTGAGTGTGTGAGTGAGTGATTGAGAGGTGAGTGTGTGAGTGAGTGATTGAGAGGTGAGTGTGTGAGTGAGTGATTGAGGGGTGAGTGTGTGAGTGATTGAGAGGTGAGTGTGTGAGTGAATGATTGAGAGGCGAGTGTGTGAGTGAGGGATTGAGAGGTGAGTGTGTGAGTGAGGGATTGAGAGGTGAGTGAGTGAGTGATTGAGAGGTGAGTGAGTGATTGACAGGTGAGAGTGAGTGAGTGAGAGGTGAGTGAGTGAGAGGTGAGTGTGTGAGTGAGTGATTGAGAGGTGAGTGTGTGTGATTGAGAGGTGAGTGAGTGATTGAGAGGTGTGTGAGTGAGTGATTGAGAGGTGAGTGAGTGATTGACAGGTGAGTGAGTGAGAGGGGAGTGAGTGAGAGGTGAGTGAGTGAGTGATTGAGAGGTGAGTGTGTGTGATTGAGAGATGAGTGATTGAGAGGTGTGTGAGAGTGATTGAGAGGTGAGTGTGTGAGTGAGTGATTGAGAGGTGTGTGTGAGTGAGTGATTGAGAGGTGAGTGAGTGAGTGATTGAGAGATTGAGAGGTGAGTGAGTGATTGACAGGTGAGTGAGTGAGAGGTGAGTGAGTGATTGACAGGTGAGTGAGTGAGAGGTGAGTGTGTGAGTGAGTGAGTGAGAGGTGTCTGAGTGACGGATTGAGAGGTGAGTGAGTGAGTGATTGAATGGTGAGTGTGTGAGTGATTGTGCTATTCCAGCCTTCATAGGTGCTACTTGCTAATAGCACTCACCCCAACAGTCCGTTAAAGGCTGTACGGGGGATCTTTGTCTTTGTGGGCGAGTGGGGGTGAGAGAGTGAGAGGGTGAATGAGTGAGTGTGGATCGCTGAGGTTCCTGTTCAGAGTTGGCCTCCCAGCTGGGGCTCGCTAATAACCACTACTTCCTGCTGTGCCAGGGTCAAAGGGCATGTGTGTGAGAGTCTGTGTGTGAGTTAGTGTGTGTGTGTGAGTTAGTGTGTGTGTGTGAGTCTGTGTGTGTGTGTGAGTCTGTGTGTGTGAGTTAATGTGTGTGTGTGTTTGAGTCTGTGTGTGTGTGAGTTAGTGTGTGTGAGAGTCTGTGTGTGTGTGTCAGTGAGTCAGTGTGTGTGTCTGTGTGAGTGTGTTAGTGTGTGAGTCAGTGTCTGTGTGTGTGAGTTAGTGTGTGTGTGAGTCTGTGTGAGTGAGTCAAGTGTGTGAGTTAGTGTGTGTGTTAGTGTGTGAGTTAGTGTGTGTCAGTGAGTCAGTGTGTGTGTCTGTGTGAGTTAGTGTGTGTGTGAGTGAGTCTCTGTGTGAGTGAGTCTGTGTGTGTGAGTTAGTGTGTGTGTGAGTCGGTGTGCCTGGGAGAGAGTTGGTATGTGTGTGTGCGTGTATGTGTATGCATGCATGTGTGTGTGTCAGCCTTAGGGGCTAATCCTTGTGAGATTTCAGCCCAGGATGTTGAGTGGGGGGAGGAGGAGCAGGGGGAGGTGTGAACTCTCTCTGTGTGAGCCTTTGTGCTCGCAAGGGATTCTGGGAGAGACCCACAATGCCACTGCCCCCCCCCTCCCCCATCTCTCACCATGCCGACCTTAATCAGTGCTCACTAACAGCACTGTGCGGGGAATTGTCTTTGTGTGTGTGTGTACATGTGTGTGTGTATGTGTGTGTGTGTACATGTGTGTGTGTACATGTGTGTGTGGAGCGGTGGTGTAGCGGTTAGCGCTACGAACCTGGCGACCCGGGTTCGAATCCCGCTCACGGCCAACACTAGTCACGATTATTTTAACCTCCCCTAGGTCGACTCAGCCTCAAATGAGTAACCTGGTGCGGTGTGTAGTAAACATCGCCACTGGGAGATACAAAGGCGGCCGGGCGTGGTGCTGGCGACCCACCCCCTCGTGTGCCGTGCCAGCCTTCATAGGTGCTCGCTAACAGCAATTGCCCCTACAGTCTGTTCAGGCTATACGGGGGATCTTTGTCTTTGAACGTACGGCATCTCAGTCAGACAACCCATGGCACCTGGATCTGTCCTGTGACCTACCAGCGGGCATTCGACGCTTCACGTGGCTTCAAAGTGCACCTAGCCTGGCACAAGCGCCGTGGTGACGTCACCGCCACTGAGTGGCGAATGGCGGCTGCTGTTGTTGTTGTTGTGTGAATCGGCCACCCACCACCTCGTGTGGCGTTCCAGCCTTCATTGGTGCTCGCTATAGCAGCACTTGCTCCTACAGTCTGTTAAGGCTACACAGGGGATCTTTGTCTTTTGTGTACGTGGGGGGAGCGGTGGTGCAGCGGTTAGCGCTACGCTGCGCTACAAACTCGGCGACCCGAGTTCGATTCCCGCTCACGGCCACCAACACCGGTGACGATTATCCGAACCGGTGCCGGGCCTCCCCAAGGTCGACTCGGCCTCAAATGAGTGCCTGGTGCGGTGCGTAGTGAACATCGCCACTGGGGAGACAAAGGCGGCCGGGCGTGATGCTGACCAACCACCCCTTCGTGTGCCACCGTGCCGGCCTTCGTAGGCGCCTCTACTCGCTGACAGCACTTGCCCCAACAGTCTGTTAAGGCTATGCAGGGGATCTTTGTCTTTCTGTGCTCACCTGCATGCGTGTACGTGTGCTCACCTGCATGGGTGTAGGTGTGTGTGCGTGCGTAGGTGAGGGTCTGTGGGTGTGCTCACCTGTGTGTGTGTACACGTGTGTGTGTGTGTGTGCGTGCGTTGGTGAGGGTGTGTGTGTGTGTGCGTGCGTTGGTGAGGATCTGCGTGTGTGCTCACCTGTACGTGTGTGTGTGTGCGTAGGCGAGGCTCTGCGTGTGTGCTCACCTGTACGCGTGTGCGTGCGAGGGTCTACGTGTGTGCTCACCTGTACGTGTGTATACGCGCGTGTGTGCGTGCGTAGGCGAGGGTCTGTGTGCGCTCACCTGTACATGTGTACGTGCGTTGGTGAGGATCTGTGTGTGTGCTCACCTGTACGTGTGTGTGTGCGTGCGTAGGCGAGGGTCTGCGTGTGTGCTCACCTGTACGTGTGTGTACGTGTGTGTACGTGTGTGTACGCGTGTGTGTGTGTGCGTGCGTAGGCGAGGGTCTGTGTGCGCTCACCTGTACGTGTGTACGTGCGTTGGAGAGGATCTGTGTGTGTGCTCACCTGTGTGTGTGTGTGTGTGTACGCGTGTGTGTGTGCTCACCTGTGTGTGTGTGTGTGTACGCGTGTGTGTGTGCGTGCGTAGGCGAGGGTCTGCGTGTGTGCGCGTCTCCGCTGTCGTGCTGCACCCTCGACATGGAGCAGCAGCTGGAGGTGCAGTCGCGCCTGGAGCTGGAGGAGTCGGTGGCGGAGAGCAGCCATTTTCTCAGGAGCACCTTCAGCACGCGCCATCACAAGTTCGACGGTGGGGGCGGCCACCGTGCTCGCTCACTCACTCACTCAACACCACACTCACTCACTCTACACCACGCTCACTCACTCACTCTACACCACGCTCACTCACTGACTCACTCACTATACACCACGCTCACTCACTCACTCTACACCACGCTGATTCTACACCACGCTCACTCACTCACTCAACACCACACTCACTCACTCTACACCACACTCACTCACTCTACACCACGCTCACTCACTCACTCTACACCACGCTCACTCACTGACTCACTCACTCTACACCACGCTCACTCACTGACTCACTCAACCTACACCACGCTCACTCACTGACTCACTCACTCTACACCACGCTCACTCACTGACTCACTCACTCTACACCACGCTCACTCACTCAACACCACGCTCAATCACTCACTCACTCTCACCACGCTCACTCACTATACACCACGCTGACTCACTATACACCACGCTCACTCACTCACTCTACACCACGCTGACTCACTCACTCTACACCACGCTGACTCACTTTACACCGTGCTCGCTCACTCACTCTACACCACGCTCACTCACTGACTCACTCACTCTACACCACGCTCACTGACTCACTCTACTCCACGCTGATTCTACACCACGCTCACTCACTATACACCACGCTCACTCACTCAACACCACGCTCACTCACTCACTCTACACCATGCTCACTCACTGACTCACTCACTATACACCACGCTCACTCACTCACTCTACACCATGCTCACTCACTGACTCACTCACTATACACCACGCTCACTCACTCACTCTACACCATGCTCACTCACTGACTCACTCACTATACACCACGCTCACTCACTCACTCTACACCACCCTCACTCACTCTACACCACGCTCACTCACTCACTATACACCACGCTCATTCACTCACTCTACACCACGCTCACTCACTGACTCACTCACTCTACACCACGCTCACTGACTCACTCTACTCCACGCTGATTCTACACCACGCTCACTCACTATACACCACGCTCACTCACTCAACACCACGCTCACTCACTCACTCTACACCATGCTCACTCACTGACTCACTCACTATACACCACGCTCACTCACTCACTCTACACCATGCTCACTCACTGACTCACTCACTATACACCACGCTCACTCACTCACTCTACACCATGCTCACTCACTGACTCACTCACTATACACCACGCTCACTCACTCACTCTACACCACCCTCACTCACTCTACACCACGCTCACTCACTCACTATACACCACGCTCATTCACTCACTCTACACCACGCTCACTCACTGACTCACTCACTATACACCACGCTCATTCACTCACTCTACACCACGCTCACTCACTCTACTCCACGCTCACTCACTGACTCACTCACTATACACCACGCTCACTCACTCACTCTACACCACCCTCACTCACTCTACACCACGCTCACTCACTCACTCTACTCCACGCTCACTCACTGACTCACTCACTATACACCACGCTCACTCACTCACTCTACACCACGCTCACTCACTCTACTCCACGCTCACTCACTGACTCACTCTACACCACGCTCACTCACTCACTCTACACCACGCTCACTCACTCACTCTACACCACGCTCACTCACTCACTCTACACCACGCTCACTCACTCTACACCACGCTCACTCACTCACTCTACACCACGCTCACTCACTCACTCGACACCACACTCACTCACTCTACACCACGCTGAGTCACTTACTCTACACCACGCTCACTCACTCACTCTACACCACACTCACTCACTCTACACCACGCTCACTCACTCACTCTACACCACGCTCACTCACTCTACACCACGCTCACTCACTCACTCTACACCACGCTCACTCACTCTACACCACGCTCACTCTACACCACGCTGACTCACTCACTCACTCTACACCACGCTCACTCACTCACTCTACACCACGCTCACTCACTCACTCTACACCACGCTCACTCACTCAATCTACACCACGCTCACTCACTCACTCTACACCACGCTCACTCACTCACTCTACACCACGCTCACTCACTCACTCTACACCACGCTCACTCGCTCACTCACTCTACACCACGCTCACTCACTCACTATACACCACACTCACACACTCACTCTACACCACGCTCACTCACTCACTATACACCACGCTCACTCACTCACTCTACACCACGCTCACTCACTCACTATACACCACACTCACTCACTCACTCTACACCACGCTCACTCACTCACTCTACACCACGCTCACTCACTCACTACACCACGCTCACTCACTCACTCTACACCACGCTCACTCACTCTACACCACGCTCACTCACTCACTCTACACCACGCTCACTCACTCACTCTACACCACACTCACTCTCTCTACACGACGCTCACTCACTCACTATACACCACGCTCACTCACTCACTCTACACCACGCTCACTCACTCACTCTACACCACGCTCACTCGCTCACTCACTATACACCACGCTCACTCACTCACTATACACCACACTCACTCACTCACTCTACACCACGCTCACTCACTCACTATACACCACGCTCACTCACTCACTCTACACCACGCTCACTCACTCACTATACACCACACTCACTCACTCACTCTACACCACGCTCACTCACTCACTATACACCACGCTCACTCACTCACTCTACACCACGCTCACTCACTCACTCTACACCACGCTCACTCACTCACTCTACACCACGCTCACTCACTCACTCTACACCACGCTCACTCACTCACTACACCACGCTCACTCACTCACTCTACACCACGCTCACTCACTCTACACCACGCTCACTCACTCACTCTACACCATGCTCACTCACTCACTCTACACCACGCTCACTCACTCACTATACACCACACTCACTCTCTCTACACCACGCTCACTCACTCTACACCACGCTCACTCACTCACTCTACACCACGCTCACTCACTCACTCTACACCACACTCACTCTCTCTACACCACGCTCACTCACTCTACACCACGCTCACTCACTCACTCTACACCACGCTCACTCACTCACTCTACACCACGCTCACTCACTCACTCTACACCACGCTCACTCACTCACTCTACACCACGCTCACTCACTCACTACACCACGCTCACTCACTCACTCTACACCACGCTCACTCACTCTACACCACGCTCACTCACTCATTCTACACCACGCTCACTCACTCACTCTACACCACACTCACTCTCTCTACACCACGCTCACTCACTCTACACCACGCTCACTCACTCACTCTACACCACGCTCACTCACTCACTACACCACGCTCACTCACTCACTATACACCACACTCACTCACTCTACACCACGCTCACTCACTCACTCTACACCACGCTCACTCACTCACTCTACACCACGCTCACTCACTCACTCTACACCACACTCACTCTCTCTACACCACGCTCACTCACTCTACACCACGCTCACTCACTCTACACCACGCTCACTCACTCACTCTACACCACGCTCACTCACTCACTCTACACCACGCTCACTCACTCACTCTACACCACACTCACTCTCTCTACACCACACTCACTCACTCTACACCACGCTCACTCACTCACTCTACACCACGCTCACTCACTCACTCTACACCACGCTCACTCACTCACTCTACACCGTGTTTACCCGCTCATTCTCTGATTCACTCGCTAACCCACCCCCCCCACCCACACCCCCACTCACTCAACCTTCTCACGCCCCCCCATCGCAGAGTTCTTCCGCGAGCTGGTGAACAACGCCGAGCGTTCCCTGCACGACATGTTCGTGCGCACGTACGGCGAGCTCTTCACCCAGAACGCCCACCTCTTCACCAACCTCTTCTCCGACCTCCGCCTCTACTACGGCGCCGGCACCGGCTCCTCCGGTTCCTCGTCCCCCGGCGCCGGCGCCGGCGCCGGCGCCGCCGGAGGAGCGGCAAGCCTCGACGAATCCCTCGCCGACTTTTGGATGCAGCTGCTGACGCGGATGATGGAGCTGGTGAACCCACAGCTGCGCTTCACCCCCGAGTACCTGCGGTGCGTCGCCTCCAGCGCCGACGGTCTGAAGCCCTTCGGCGACGTCCCGCGCAAGCTGAGGCCCCAGCTGGGCCGGGCCTTCGTGTCGGCCCGGGCCTTCGTCGCTGGCCTGGCCGTCGGCCGCGACGTGGTGACGCGCGTCACGCAGGTGAGGATGGTGGTGGTGGTGGTGAGGGTGAGGGTGGCGGTGAGGGTTTGTGGTGAGGGTGAGGGTGGTGAGGGTGAGGGTGGTGGTGGTGAGGGTGGTGGTGAGGGTGGTGGTGAGGGTGGTGAGGGTGGTGAGGGTGGTGAGGGTGAGGGTGAGGGTGGTGGTGAGGGTAGTGGTGAGGGTGAGGGTGGTGGTGAGGGTGAGGGTGGTGAGGGTGGTGAGGGTGAGGGCGGTGAGGGTGGTGAGGGCGGTGAGGGTGAGGGTGGTGGTGAGGGTGGTGAGGGTGAGGGTGGTGGTGAGTGTGACGGTGAGGGTGACGGTGAGGGCGGTGAGTGTGACGGTGGTGGTGAGGGTGTGACTATGGTGGTGAGGGTGGTGAGGGTGAGGGTGGTGGTGAGTTTGACGGTGAGGGTGAGGGCGGTGAGTGTGACGGTGAGGGTGGTGAGGGTGAGGGTGGTGGTGAGTGTGAGGGTGGTGAGGGTGAGGGTGGTGGTGAGTGTGACAGTGAGGGTGACGGTGAGGGCGGTGAGTGTGACGGTGGTGGTGAGGGTGGTGAGGGTGAGGGTGGTGGTGAGTTTGACGGTGAGGGTGAGGGCGGTGAGTGTGATGGTGAGGGTGGTGAGGGTGAGGGTGGTGGTGAGGGTGGTGAGGGTGACGGTAAGGGTGGTGAGGGTTACGGTAAGGGTGGTGAGGGTGAGGGTGGTGGTGAGGGTGAGGGCGGTGGTGAGGGTGAGGGTGGTGAGTGTGACGGTGAGGGTGGTGGTGAGGGTGGTGAGGGTGGTGAGGGTGGTGAGGGTGAGGGTGGTGAGTGTGACGGTGAGGGTGAGGGCGGTGAGGGTGGTGGTGAGGGTGAGGGTGGTGGTGAGGGTGAGGGCGGTGAGTGTGACGGTGGTGGTGGTGAGGGTGAGGGTGGTGGTGAGGGCGGTGAGTGTGACGGTGAGGGTGGTGAGGGTGAGAGCGGTGGTGAGTGTGAGGGTGAGTGTGACGGTGGTGGTGAGGGTGTGGCGATGGTGGTGAGGGTGAGGGCGGTGAGTGTGACGGTGAGGGTGGTGAGTTGGACGGTGAGGGTGGTGAGGGTGGTGGTGAGGGTGGTGAGGGTCGTGGTGAGTGTGACGGTGAGGGTGGTGAGGGTGAGGGTGGTGAGTGTGACGATGGTGGTGAGGGTGGTGAGTGTGACGATGGTGGTGAGGGTGGTGAGTGTGACGATGGGGTGAGGGTGGTGAGTGTGACGATGGGGTGAGGGTGGTGAGTGTGACGATGGGGTGAGGGTGGTGAGTGTGACGATGGTGGTGAGGATGGTGAGTGTGACGATGGGGTGAGGGTGGTGAGTGTCACAATGGTGGTGAGGGTGGTCAGTGTGACGATGGGGTGAGTGTGGTGAGTGTGACGATGGGGTGAGGGTGGTGAGTGTGACGCTGGGGTGAGGGTGGTGAGTGTGACGATGGTGGTGAGGGTGGTGAGTGTGACGATGGTGGTGAGGGTGAGGGTGGTGAGTGTGACGATGGTGGTGAGGGTGGTGAGTGTGACGATGGGGTGAGTGTGACGATGGTGGTGAGGGTGGTGAGTGTGACGATGGTGGTGAGGGTGGTGAGTGTGACGATGGGGTGAGTGTGACGATGGTGGTGACGGTGGTGAGTGTGACGCTGGGGTGAGTGTGACTATGGTGGTGAGGGTGGTGAGTGTGACGATGGTGGTGAGGGTGGTGAGTGTGACGATGGGGTGAGTGTGGTGAGTGTGACGATGGGGTGAGGGTGGTGAGTGTGACGATGGGGTGAGGGTGGTGAGTGTGACGATGGTGGTGATGGTGGTGAGTGTGACGATGGGGTGAGTGTGGTGAGTGTGACGATGGGGTGAGGGTGGTGAGTGTGACGATGGGGTGAGGGTGGTGAGTGTGACGATGGGGTGAGGGTGGTGAGTGTGACGATGGGGTGAGGGTGGTGAGTGTGACGATGGTGGTGAGGATGGTGAGTGTGACGATGGGGTGAGGGTGGTGAGTGTCACAATGGTGGTGAGGGTGGTCAGTGTGACGATGGGGTGAGTGTGGTGAGTGTGACGATGGGGTGAGGGTGGTGAGTGTGACGCTGGGGTGAGGGTGGTGAGTGTGACGATGGTGGTGAGGGTGGTGAGTGTGACGATGGTGGTGAGGGTGAGGGTGGTGAGTGTGACGATGGTGGTGAGGGTGGTGAGTGTGACGATGGGGTGAGTGTGACGATGGTGGTGAGGGTGGTGAGTGTGACGATGGTGGTGAGGGTGGTGAGTGTGACGATGGGGTGAGTGTGACGATGGTGGTGACGGTGGTGAGTGTGACGCTGGGGTGAGTGTGACTATGGTGGTGAGGGTGGTGAGTGTGACGATGGTGGTGAGGGTGGTGAGTGTGACGATGGGGTGAGGGTGGTGAGTGTGACGCTGGGGTGAGGGTGGTGAGTGTGACGATGGTGGTGAGGGTGGTGAGTGTGACGATGGGGTGGGGGTGAGGGTGGTGAGTGTGACGATGGGGTGAGGGTGGTGAGGGTGAGGGTGGTGAGGGTGAGGGTGGTGAGGGTGAGGGTGGTGAGGGTGAGGGTGGTGAGTGTGACGGTGAGGGTGAGGGCGGTGAGTGTGACGGTGAGGGTGGTGAGGGTGAGGGTGGTGGTGAGGGTGGTGAGTGTGACGATGGGGTGAGGGTGGTGAGTGTGACGATGGTGGTGAGGGTGAGAGGGTGACGATGGTGGTGAGGGTGAGGGTGGTGAGTGTGACGATGGTGGTGAGTGACGATGGTGGTGAGGATGGTGAGTGTGACGATGGGGTGAGGGTGAGGTGAGGGTGGTGAGTGTGACGATTGGGTGAGGGTGAGGGTGGAGAGTGTGACGATGGTGGTGATTGTGACGATGGGGTGAGTGTGTCGATGGGGTGAGTGTGAGAGGGTGACAATGGTGGTGAGGGTGGTGAGTGTGACGATGGTGGTGAGGTTGAGGGTGGTGAGTGTGACGATGGTGGTGAGGGTGTGACGATGGGGTGAGTGTGACGATGGGGTGAGGGTGAGGGTGGTGAGTGTGACGATGGGGTGAGGGTGGTGAGTGTGACGATGGGGTGAGGGTGGTGAGTGTGACGATGGGGTGAGAGGGTAGTGAGTGTGACGATGGGGTGAGGGTGAGAGGGTGACGATGGTGGTGAGGGTGGTGAGTGTGACGATGGTGGTGAGTGTGACGATGGTGGTGAGGGTGGTGAGTGTGACGATGGGGTGAGGGTGGTGAGTGTGACGATGGTGGTGAGGGTGGTGAGTGTGACGATGGTGGTGACGGTGGTGAGTGTGACGCTGGGGTGAGGGTGGTGAGTGTGACGATGGTGGTGAGGGTGGTGAGTGTGACGATGGGGTGAGGGTGGTGAGTGTGACGATGGTGGTGAGGGTGAGAGGGTGACGATGGTGGTGAGGGTGGTGAGTGTGACGATGGTGGTGATGGTGGTGAGTGTGACGATGGTGGTGAGGATGGTGAGTGTGACGATTGGGTGAGGGTGAGGGTGTGATGATGGGGTGAGGGTGGTGAGTGTGACGATGGTGGTGAGGGTGAGAGGGTGACGATGGTGGTGAGGGTGGTGAGTGTGACGATGGTGGTGATGGTGGTGAGTGTGACGATGGTGGTGAGGGTGGTGAGTGTGACGATGGGGTGAGGGTGAGGGTGTGATGATGGGGTGAGGGTGGTGAGTGTGACGATGGTGGTGAGGGTGAGAGGGTGACGATGGTGGTGAGGGTGGTGAGTGTGACGATTGGGTGAGGGTGAGGGTGGAGAGTGTGACGATGGTGGTGAGGGTGGTGAGTGTGACGATGGGGTGAGGGTGGTGAGTGTGGCAATGGTGGTGAGGGTGGTGAGTGTGACGATGGTGGTGAGGTTGAGGGTGGTGAGTGTGACGATGGTGGTGAGGGTGTGACGATGGGGTGAGGGTGGTGAGTGTGATGATGGGGTGAGGGTGGTGAGTGTGACGATGGTGGTGAGGGTGGTGAGTGTGACGATGGTGGTGAGGGTGGTGAGTGTGACGATGGGGTGAGGGTGGTGAGTGTGACGATGGTGGTGAGGGTGGTGAGTGTGACGATGGTGGTGAGGGTGGTGAGGGTGAGGGTGGTGGTGAGGGTGGTGAGTGTGACGATGGTGGTGAGGGTGGTGAGTGTGACGATGGGGTGAGGGTGGTGAGTGTGACGATGGTGGTGAGGGTGGTGAGTGTGACGATGGTGGTGAGGGTGGTGAGTGTGATGATGGGGTGAGGGTGAGAGGGTGACGATAGGGTGAGTGTGGTGAGTGTGACGATGGTGGTGAGGGTGGTGAGTGTGACGATGGGGTGAGGGTGGTGAGTGTGACGATGGTGGTGAGGGTGGTGAGTGTGACGATGGTGGTGAGGGTGGTGAGTGTGACGATGGTGGTGAGGGTGGTGAGTGTGACGATGGGGTGAGGGTGAGAGGGTGACGATGGGGTGAGTGTGGTGAGTGTGACGATGGGGTGAGTGTGGTGAGTGTGACGATGGTGGTGAGGGTGGTGAGTGTGACGAAGGGTGAGGGTGGTGAGTGTGACGATGGGGTGAGTGTGGTGAGTGTGATGGGGTGAGGGTGGTGAGTGTGACGATGGGGTGAGGGTGGTGAGTGTGATGGGGTGAGGGTGGTGAGTGTGACGATGGTGGTGAGGGTGGTGAGTGTGACGATGGTGGTGAGGGTGGGGAGTGTGACGATGGGGTGAGGGTGAGGGTGTGGTGAGTGTGACGATGGTGGTGAGGGTGGTGAGTGTGACGATGGGGTGAGTGTAACGATGGGGTGAGGGTGGTGAGTGTGACGATGGTGGTGAGGGTGAGGGTGTGGTGAGTGTGACGATGGTGGTGAGGGTGGTGAGTGTGACGATGGTGGTGAGGGTGAGGGTGAGGGTGTGGTGAGTGTGATGATGGTGGTGAGGGTGGTGAGTGTGACGATGGGGTGAGTGTAACGATGGGGTGAGGGTGGTGAGTGTGACGATGGTGGTGAGGGTGAGGGTGGTGAGTGTGACGATGGTGGTGAGGGTGGTGAGTGTGACGATGGTGGTGAGGGTGAGGATGGTGAGTGTGACGATGGGTTGAGGGTGGTGAGTGTGACGATTGTGGTGAGGGTGTGGTGAGTGTGACGATGGTGGTGAGGGTGGTGAGTGTGACGATGGGGTGAGGGTGGTGAGTGTCACAATGGTGGTGAGGGTGGTGAGTGTGACGATGGGGTGAGTGTGGTGAGTGTGACGATGGTGGTGAGGGTGGTGAGTGTGATGGGGTGAGGGTGGTGAGTGTGACGATGGTGGTGAGGGTGGGGAGTGTGATGGGGTGAGGGTGGTGAGTGTGACGATGGTGGTGAGGGTGGTGAGTGTGACGATGGGGTGAGTGTAACGATGGGGTGAGGGTGGTGAGTGTGACGATGGTGGTGAGGGTGGTGAGTGTGACGATGGTGGTGAGGGTGAGGGTGTGGTGAGTGTGACGATGGTGGTGAGGGTGGTGAGTGTGACGATGGGGTGAGGGTGAGGGTGTGGTGAGTGTGACGATGGTGGTGAGGGTGGTGAGTGTGACGATTGTGGTGAGGGTGAGGGTGTGGTGAGTGTGACGATGGTGGTGAGGGTGGTGAGTGTGACGATGGTGGTGAGGGTGGTGAGTGTGACGATGGGGTGAGGGTGGTGAGTGTGACGATGGGGTGAGGGTGGTGAGTGTGACGATGGTGGTGAGGGTGGTGAGTGTGACGATGGGGTGAGTGTGGTGAGTGTGACGATGGGGTGAGGGTGGTGAGTGTGACGATGGTGGTGAGGGTGGTGAGTGTGACGATGGGGTGAGGGTGGTGAGTGTGACGATGGGGTGAGGGTGGTGAGTGTGACGATGGTGGTGAGGGTGGTGAGTGTGATGAACGGGTAAGAGGGTGGTGAGTGTGACGATGGTGGTGAGGGTGGTGAGTGTGACGATGGTGGTGAGGGTGGTGAGTGTGACGATGGTGGTGAGGGTGGTGAGTGTGACGATGGGGTGAGGTAGCTAACATCTCCTAGCCACCGTGATGATGATGAGACACGCAGACTCCAAATACACAGCAGCAGCACGTGTCAGGGGTCGGGATTGAACCCACAACCTCCTGCGTACCAAGCGAGGTAGTCAACATCTCCTGGACACCGTGATGATGATGATGAGAGACGCGCAAACTCCAAATACACAGCAGCAGCAGGCATCGTCAGGGGTCGGGGTAGAACCCACGACCTCCTGCGTACCAGGCGAAGTAGCTAACATCTCCTAGCCATCGTGTTGCCCCTTAAATGAAGTGGACGGGGTTCAGATGGCATCATCAATTCACGCTAAGACCGAGGCGGAGAAATGGCGACAGGCAGAGGCCCAGGGCTCGAACCCAGGCCTAGAGCTGTGAGGTTCCCTGGTGTCAGGGGGTGAGAAGTGAGCCCAGGCTAAAAGGGGAGCGAGGTCACGGTCTGACGTTTGACAGTCGGGGAAAGCGAGCCTCTGGAATATTAACCCTGGGAGCTCTCGTGATTGTGAGTGGAATTGTGTGAGTGTGAGTGGATGTGTGAGTGAGTGTGATTGTGAGTGAGTGGATGAGTGAGTGTGAGTGGATGTGTGAGTGAGTGTGATTGTGAGTGGATGTGTGAGTGAGTGTGATTGTGAGTGGATGTGTGAGTGAGTGTGATTGTGAGTGAGTGGATGAGTGAGTGTGAGTGGATGTGTGAGTGTGATTGTGAGTGGATGTGTGAGTGAGTGTGATTGTGAGTGAGTGGATGAGTGAGTGTGAGTGGATGTGTGAGTGAGTGTGATTGTGAGTGGATGTGTGAGTGAGTGTGATTGTGAGTGGATGTGTGAGTGAGTGTGATTGTGAGTGAGTGGATGAGTGAGTGTGAGTGGATGTGTGAGTGAGTGTGATTGTGAGTGGATGTGTGAGTGAGTGTGATTGTGAGTGGATGTGTGAGTGAGTGTGATTGTGAGTGAGTGGATGAGTGAGTGTGAGTGGATGTCTGAGTGAGTGTGATTGTGAGTGGATGTGTGAGTGAGTGTGATTGTGAGTGGATGTGTGAGTGAGTGTGATTGTGAGTGGATGTGTGAGTGAGTGTGATTGTGAGTGAGTGGATGAGTGAGTGGATGTGTGGTTGAGTGTGAGTGTGATTGTGAGTGTGATTGAGTGTGATTGAGTGTGAGTGTGATTGTGAGTGTGATTGCGTGTGAGTGGATAAGTGATTGTGAGTGGATGTGTGATTGAGTGTGATTGTGATTGAGTGTGATTGTGAGTGTGATTGTGATTGAGTGTGATTGTGAGTGGATGTGTGATTGAGTGGATGTGTGATTGTGAGTGGATGTGTGATTGAGTGTGTATGATTGTGAGTGGCTGTGTGATTGAATGTGAGTGTGATTGTGAGTGGATGTGTGATTGAGTGTGATTGTGAGTGGATGTGTGATTGAGTGTGAGTGTGATTGTGAGTGGATGTGTGATTGAGTGTGAGTGTGATTGTGAGTGGATGTGTGATTGAGTGTGAGTGTGATTGTGAGTGGATGTGTGATTGAGTGTGAGTGTGATTGTGAGTGGATGTGTGATTGAGTGTGAGTGTGAGTGTGAGTGGATGTGTGATTGAGTGTGAGTGTGATTGTGAGTGGATGTGTGATTGAGTGTGAGTGTGATTGTGAGTGGATGTGTGATTGAGTGTGAGTGTGATTGTGAGTGGATGTGTGATTGAGTGTGAGTGGATGTGTGATTGAGTGTGATTGTGATTGAGTGTGATTGTGAGTGTGATTGAGTGTGAGTGGATAAGTGATTGTGAGTGGATGTGTGATTGAGTGTGATTGTGAGTCGATGTGTGATTGAGTGTGAGTGTGATTGTGAGTCGATGTGTGATTGAGTGCGAGTGTGATTGTGAGTGTGAGTGGATGTGTGAGTGTGATTGTGAGTGGATGTGTGTCTGAGTGTGAGTGGATGTGTGGTTGAGTGTGAGTGTGATTGTGAGTGGATGTGTGATTGAGTGTGATTGTGAGTGGATGTGTGATTGAGTGTGAGTGTGATTGTGAGTGGATGTGTGAGTGAGTGTGAGTGGACGGGTGAGCGTGTGAGTGGACGGGTGAGAGTGTGAGTGGACGGGTGAGAGTGTGAGTGGACGAGTGAGTGTGTGAGTGGACGGGTGAGTGTGTGTGTGTGAGTGGACGGGTGAGTGGACGGGTGAGCGTGTGAGTGGACGGGTGAGCGTGTGTGAGTGGACGGGTGAGTGTGTGTGAGTGGACGGGTGAGCGTGTGAGTGGACGTGTGAGTGTGAGTGAGTGTGTGAGTGGACGGGTGAGTGTTAGTGAGTGGACGGGTGAGTGTGAGGGTGGACGTGTGACTGTGTGAGTGGACGTGTGAGTGTGAGTGAGTGTTAGTGAGTGGACGTGTGAGTGGACGTGTGAGTGTGTGAGTGTACGGGTGAGTGTGTGAGTGTGTGAGTGGACGGGTGAGTGCGTGTGAGTGCGTGTGAGTGCGTGTGAGTGCGTGTGAGTGAGCATGTCCTCCCCCTGTTCTGGAGATTGCGAGCGAGTGATGTCGTTGTTGTCGTTGTCGTTGACGTCGTTGTTGACGTCGTGCTCGCTGTTGTTGACAGCTGCCGGTGACGGGCGAGTGTGCGGTGGCCATGACCCGCATGCTGCACTGCCCACTGTGCCGAGGGGTCGTGTCGGCACGCCCCTGTGCCGGCTTCTGCCTCAACGTGGTCAAGGGCTGCCTGGCCAACCAGGCCGACCTCAACGCGGAGTGGAACAACTTCCTGGGTGGGTGCGGTGGGTCGGGAATGGGTAGAGGGTGGGTGGTGGGTGGTGGGTAGGATGGGTAGAGTTTGGGTGGTGGGTAGGGTGGGTCGGGTTTGGGTAGAGGGTGGGGTGGGATGGGTTGAGGGTGGGGTGGGATGGGTTGAGGGTGGGTGGTGGGTCGGGGTGGGTAAAGGGTAGGGTGGGGTGGGTGGGTAGGGTGGGGTGGGTAGAGGGTAGGGTGGGGTGGGTAGAGGGTAGGGTGGGGTGGGTAGAGGGTAGGGTGGGGTGGGTAGAGGGTAGGGTGGGGTGGGTAGAGGGTAGGGTGGGGTGGGTAGAGGGTAGGGTGGGGTGGGTAGAGGGTAGGGTGGGGTGGGTAGAGGGTAGGGTGGGGTGGGTAGAGGGTAGGGTGGGGTGGGTAGAGGGTAGGGTGGGGTGGGTAGAGGGTAGGGTGGGGTGGGTGGGTGGGGTGGGTGGGTAGGGTGGGTGGGTAGGGTGGGTAGGGTGGGTGGGTAGGGTGGGTAGGGTGGGGTGGGTGGGTAGGGTGGGGTGGGGTGGGTAGAGGGTAGGGTGGGGTTGGTAGGTAGGGTGGGGTGGGTGGGTAGGGTGGGGTGGGTGGGTAGGGTGGGGTGGGGTGGGTAGGGTGGGTAGGGTGGGGTGGGTGGGGTGGGTGGGGTGGGTGGGGTGGGTGGGTAGGGTGGGGTGGGTGGGTGGGTAGGGTGGGGTGGGTGGGTAGGGTGGGGTGGGTAGGGTGGGGTGGGGTGGGTAGGGTGGGGTGGGGTGGGTGGGTAGGGTGGGGTGGGTGGGTAGGGTGGGGGTGGGTGGGGTGGGTGGGTAGGGTGGGGTGGGTGGGTAGGGTGGGGTGGGGTGGGTAGGGTGGGGTGGGGTGGGTAGGGTGGGGTGGGGTGGGTGGGTAGGGTGGGGTGGGTGGGGTGGGTGGGTAGGGTGGGGTGGGGTGGGTAGGGTGGGGTGGGGTGGGTAGGGTGGGGTGGGGTGGGTGGGTAGGGTGGGGTGGGTGGGGTGGGTGGGTAGGGTGGGTAGGGTAGGGTGGGGTGGGTGGGTAGGGTGGGGTGGGTGGGTAGGGTGGGGTGGGGTGGGTGGGTAGGGTGGGGTGGGGTGGGTGGGGTGGGTGGGACACTCCATGCATCACTTGGTTCTCACCGTCTCAGCCCTCGCCATTCTCTCTTTCAACCTCGCCCTCACTCGCTCACCCTCCCTCACCCTTCATCACCCTTCATCACCCTCCGTCACAGACGCGATGCTGATGGTGGCGGAGCGCCTCGAAGGGCCCTTCAACATCGAGGCGGTGCTGGACCTCATGGACGTCAAGATCTCCGACGCCATCATGAACATGCAGGAGAACAGCGTCGCCATCTCCGAGCAGGTGACCCACGGGGACCAGCGGGGGTGGGGGGCTCTGTGTGTGTGTGCTGTGTGTGTGTGCTGTGTGTGCTGTGTGTGTGTGTGCTGTGTGTGTGCTGTGTGTGTGTGCTGTGTGTGCTGTGTGTGTGTGTGCTGTGTGTGTGTGCTCTGTGTGTGTGTGTGCGCTGTGTGTGTGTGCGCTGTGTGTGTGTGCGCTCTGTGTGTGCTCTGTGTGTGTGCTGTGTGTGTGTGTGTGCTGTGTGTGTGTGCTGTGTGTGTGTGTGTGCTCTGTGTGTGTGTGCGCTGTGTGTGCTCTGTGTGTGTGCTGTGTGTGTGTGTGCTGTGTGTGTGTGTGCACTGTGTGTGCTCTGTGTGTGTGTGTGCTCTGTGTGTGTGTGTGCTGTGTGTGTGTGTGGTCTGTGTGTGTGTGTGTGCTGTGTGTGTGCTGTGTGTGTGTGTGTGCTCTGTGTGTGTGTGCTGTGTGTGTGCTGTGTGTGTGTGTGCTCTGTGTGTGTCTGCGCTCTGTGTGTGTGTGCTCTGTGTGTCTGTGTGTGTGCTGTATGTGCTGTGTGTGTGCGCTGTGTGTGTGTGTGCTGTATGTGCTCTGTGTGTGTGCGCTGTGTGTGTGTGTGCTCTGTGTGTGTGTGTGCTGTGTGTGTGTGCGCTGTGTGTGTGTGTGTGCTCTGTGTGTGTGCTGTGTGTGTGCTCTGTGTGTGTGTGTGTGCGCTCTGTGTGTGCTCTGTGTGTGTGCTGTGTGTGTGTGTGCTCTGTGTGTGTGCTCTCTGTGTGTGTGTGTGCTGTGTGTGTGCTCTGTGTGTGTGCTCTGTGTGTGTGCTGTGTGTGTGCTCTGTGTGTGTGTGTGTGCTCTGTGTGTGTGTGTGTGCTCTCTGTGTGTGTGCTCTGTGTGTGTGCTGTGTGTGTGTGTGCTGTGTGTGTGTGCTCTGTGTGTGTGTGCTCTGTGTGTGTGTGCTGTGTGTGTGTGTGCTCTGTGTGTGTGTGCTGTGTGTGTGTGTGCTCTGTGTGTGTGTGTGTGCGCGCTGTGTGTGTGCTCTGTGTGTGTGTGTGCTCTGTGTGTGTGTGTGTGCGTGCTGTGTGTGTGCTCTGTGTGTGTGTGTGCTGTGTGTGTGTGTGTATGTGTGTGTGCTCTGTGTGTGTGTGTGTTCTGTGTGTGTGTGTGCTCTGTGTGTGTGTGCTCTGTGTGTGTGTGCTCTGTGTGTGTGCGCTCTGTGTGTGTGTGTGCTCTGTGTGTGTGTGTGCTCTGTGTCTGTGTGTGCTGTGTGTGTGTGTGCTCGCGATGCCAGACGGGCAACTCTGTCGTGGACAGTGCTGTGGGCGGAGGGCCAATTCCGATTGGCTCCTCCCCTCATGGCGTCTGTGACCAACACAGGGGCTAAACGGGAGCTCTGGACGGGTGCAAGGGGCTGGTAACCCCTCCACCTTCAAAAATTTACCACTAAACCACGTCTAAAATATCTAACTAATAAGCTTGTGCCGGAGGCCCCGGGGAGACAGGCGTCTATGACGTCTCCTGGCCAAACCCCAATTGGCGGAGCCAGGAGATTGAATCTCTACCCTCGGGGCTCCGCCAGAAACAACGAAAAGCCACTTCTTGTGGCCACGTGGAATGTTCGAATGCTCACTGCGGAGGAGAGGCTGCCACTCCTCTGTTGGGAGCTGGACCGGTACTGCCTGGATCTCTGTGGCATTCAGGAGGTCCGGTGGACCGGTTCTGGCTCCTGCCACCATGAGGGGTGGACAGTCCTCTCCTCGGGGCAGCAGACTGCCAAACAACAGGGTGTGGCGCTTCTTTTGAACAAAAGAATGAAGGGGGCGTGGGAGCATGGCGGTGAGGTGTGGGAAGCTGTAAGCCCCAGGTTACTTTGGGCTCGCCTTCCCATCAATCGGAGGTGAGGAGTGGTAGTCGTGTTTACTTATGCCCCCACCGAAGACGAACATCCGTGGAAGGATGCAGGCAAAGCCGATGAGTCAGATGCCTTCTATGACCTCCTGTCACAGGTGTTGGCTAAAGTGGCCCCTCTGGATAGAGTCATCTTGTTGGGTGACTTCAATGCCCGAGTTGGTCAGGATGCTGGCACCTGGTCTGGAGTGATTGGAGGGCATGGGCCAGATCAGCTCAATAACAACGGTAGGAAGCTGCTAGATTTTTGTGCAGCCCATGGGCTTGTAATTATCAACACGCTATTCCGGCATCGGCGCATCCACACAACATCATGGATGCATGCCGGGTCCAAGCAAAAACATCTGCTGGACTACATAGTGACGGACCAGCGGATGCGAGCCCATGTCCTTGACACCAGGACCTACCGTGGAGCTGATCTCCCCTCTGACGATCGACTTGTCATCTGTAAGATGTGCCTGCCATTCTTCCGCTCCGGTGGTGGGTGTACACCCAGGACCCCATTCCAACCTAAAGTGGCCTGGTCTCAGTTATGTGATGAAAGTTGCAAGCGAGAATTTCATCATCGCCTGCGGCTGGGGTTGGCATCGTCCCCCACTCCTCCTGATGTCGAGGGTAAATGGGCGAGGTTTAGGAATGTTACTCATGCAGCTGCATTGGCTGCTTTGGGTACGTGGCCCAGACCTCCCCAGAGACCCTGGCTGACAGAGGTGTTCAGGATGGTTGAGAAAAAGCGACAGGCCCACTGTCATCGGCTACAGAATCCCACGTCAGAGAATGGAGGCGGCTTACCGCAGCCTTCACTCGGAGGTTCGGAGAGCCGTCAAGATGGGTGGTGGTCGCGGGTTGCTGAGGAGATGGAGTCTGCCTCAGTGGCCCGCGATCACAAATTTTTATTTAACTCCATCAAAAAGTAACCTGCAGCGCCACACCTATTACCATCAGGGGAAAAAACGGTGATCCAATCTCCGACCCCCAGGAACAGGTTTGCAGATTTGCTGAGCATTTCTGAGGTCCTGGGGGAGGGAAAATCCCTCAGCCAGGAAAACATCATGACACAAAGTGGGGATGACCCTGCTGAGGCTGCGGTGCCTCAAATATTGGAAGAAGTCACCCCCTGTGAGTGGCTTGCTGAAGTGCCATCTGTTGGGGAAGTACTAAAGGCGATCCGGAGTCTGAGACCAGCAAAGGCAGCGGGCAGAGATGATCTCCCAAGCGAAATGCTGAGGGAGGGTGGCGTTTGTGCACAGACTGCCCTATATGACATCATAACAACAGTCTGCACCACTGTACGGGTTCCGCAGGATTGGAAGGATGCCCTGGTGGTCCCCCTCTTTAAGAAGGAGGACCGCACAGACTGTAACAACTACAGGGGCATCTCACTCCTCAGTGTGCCGGGAAAGGTCCTGGCAAGGATTATTCAACATCGCCTTGCCAGGCACGCTGAGAAGAGGCTTGTGGAGCCCCAATGCGGTTTTAAGCTAGGGCGGTCCTGCACAGATGTTATATTTTCTGTCCGTCTGCTACAGCAGAGGTGTAGGGAATTCCAGCAAGACCTACATCTCTGCTTTATTGACCTGGTCAAGGCCTATGATACCATCAGTAGGCCTGGGCTCTGGGTTGTTCTTCGTGCTTTTGGAGTACCTGACCCTCTGCTCACGATTATTAAGGACCTTCATGATGATGAGCGGGCCCGGGTAAAACTACGTGGCCGGGAGTCAGAGCCATTCCCTGTACACCTTGGGGTGCGACAGGGATGTCCTCTGGCTCCCACATTATTTAACATCTATTTTGACCACATACTTCGTGAAGCCTTCAATAGCTGTACCGGGGGAATCTCCATATGGTACAGATATAATGGGAGGCTGATTGATGCCCGGGTGTGGTCAAGGGATGGCTCCCTACTGCTCAACCACGTTATGTATGCTGATGATTTGGTAATAGCTGCTCATTCAGAGGAGGAGTTGGAGACGCTGCTGCTGAGACTGGAGCGTGCCACTAAGAGGTGGGGCCATACCATCAGCCCCACCAAAATTAAGCACCTATCTGGGTATTTTGTACCATCGGACACTCCACCCCCACAACTCCCAATCGGTGATGGGGCAGTTGTGGAGAGAGTGGAGAGTTTCCCATACCTGGGCAGTGTGCTTATGACCGGCTCCAGTTTAACAGCAGAGGTCTCACTCCGAATCAGTCGAGCGGCAATATCTTTTCATTGGTTGCGTAACGCTGTGTGGAAGCTACCTGGTCTGTCGCTCCGCACTAAGCTTCAGGTCTTCTCGGCCACGGTCATTCCCTCCCTTCTCTACGCTTGCGAAACGTGGACCCCCCTAATGGAACATCTTCGCCGGTTAGAAACATTTAGGCTGGCCTGCCTACGATCCATCCTGGGTTTAACCAGACTGGATTGCGTGAGGAGCTCACAAATCCTTGAAAGATCTGGGCAAGGTCCCATCGGTGAGCTCCTACGGCGGGGAAGGCTGCGATAGCTGGGTCATGTAGCCCGCATGCCCAGCCACCGCATGCCGAAGCAGCTTTTGTTCGGCCGGATTGAGGGGGCTAAGCAGGCGCGGCACGGGCTAGAGAAGAGATGGAGTGATGTGGTACAGGAGGACGTGGAGCTGAGTGGACTTGCCGATGACCGGTACCAGCGGTGTCAAGATCGGCCTCTGTGGAGGAGGCTCGTGAAGGACGCTACTGGGCAGTTGGAGGTAGTCGCCCTCCAACAACAACGGAGGGCGGAGGAGCGACGCTCACAACAACGAGCGGAGCGCCGGGTGGCTAAAGCACAGCAGGTTGGCACAGTAGGGGGCACAGGTGGTGCATCAGCCAGTCATCTCAGTCAGTCGACCCGTGGCACCTGCTGGGTCTGCCCCGTGACCTCCTGCCAGCGGGCGTTCGACACTTCACGTGGCCTCAGGGTGCACATAGCCTAGCACAAGCGTCGTGGTGACGTCACCGCCACTTAGTGGCGAATGGCGGTTGTTGTTGTTGCTGTGTGTATGCTATGCTGTGTGTGATGTGTGTGTATGTATGATGTGTGTGAGTGTCTGCTATGCGTGTGTATGCTATGCGTGTGTATTCTATGCTGTGTGTATGCTATACATGTGATGCTATGCTATACGTGTGTGTGTATACTATGCTGTGTGTATTCTGTAGTTGTGTATATGCTGTAGGTGTGTATGCTATACGTGTGTGTATGTCATGCTGTGTGTGTATGCTGTAGGTGTTTGCATGCTATACGTGTGTGTATACCATGCTGTGTGTATACCATGCTGTGTGTGTATACCATGCCGTGCGTGTATATACCAAGCTGTGTGTGTGTACCATGCTGTGTGTATACCAAGCTGTGTGTGTGTATGCTATGTGTGTATACCATGCTGTGTGTGTATACCAAGCTGTGTGTGTGTATGCTGTGTGTGTACCATGCTGTGTGTGTGCTATGTGTATACCATGCTGTGTGTATGCTATGTGTATACCATGCTGTGTGTGTATATGCTGTGTGTGTGTGTGTATACCATGCTGTGTGTATACCATGCTGTGTGTGTGCTATGTGTGTACCATGCTATGTGTGTACCATGCTGTGTGTGTGTATGCTGTGTGTATGCTGTAGGTGTTTGCGGGCTGTGGGCGACTCCGTTCGTCGCCCCCCGGGCGCTCCCAGCGCTCCGCCCTCGACGCTCTCAACCAGCACTTCCGCTCCGTGCAGCCTGAGGAGCGACCCACCACGGCCGCAGGGACGAGCCTGGACCGCCTGGTGAGTCGCTCACCCACCCGCTCACCCAGTCACCCGCTCGCTCACCCAGTCACCCACCCGCTCACCCAGTCACCCACCCACTCACCCAGTCACCCACCCGCTCACCCAGTCACGCACCCGCTCACCCAGTCACCCACTCGCTCACCCAGTCACCCACCCGCTCACCCAGTCACCCACCCGCTCACCCAGTCACCCACTCGCTCACCCAGTCACCCACCCACTCACCCAGTCACCCACCCGCTCACCCAGTCACCCACCCGCTCACCCAGTCACCCGCTCGCTCACCCACCCGCTCACTCACTCACCCACCCACCCACCCGCTCACCCACCCCCCCACCCACCCGCTCACCCAGTCACCCACCCGCTCACCAACCCGCTCACCCGCTCGCTCACCCACCCACCCGCTCACCCAGTCACCCGCTCACCCAGTCACCCGCTCGCTCACCCACCCGCTCACCCAGTCACCCACCCGCTCACCCACCCACCCACCCACCCGCTCACCCAGTCACCCACCCGCTCACCAACCCGCTCACCCACCCGCTCACCCAGTCACCCACCCGCTCACCCAGTCACCCACCCGCTCACCAACCCGCTCACCCGCTCGCTCACCCAGTCACCCGCTCGCTCACCCGCTCACCCAGTCACCCACCCGCTCACCAACCCGCTCACCCCGCTCGCTCACCCAGTCACCCTCTCGCTCACCCGCTCACCCAGTCACCCACCCGCTCACCAACCCGCTCGCTCACCCACCCACCCGCTCACCCACCCGCTCACCCAGTCACCCACCCGCTCACCAACCCGCTCACCCGCTCGCTCACCCACCCACCCGCTCACCCACCCGCTCACCCAGTCACCCACCCGCTCACCCAGTCACCCACCCGCTCACCAACCCGCTCACCCGCTCGCTCACCCACCCACCCGCTCACCCACCCGCTCACCCAGTCACCCACCCGCTCACCCAGTCACCCACCCGCTCACCAACCCGCTCACCCGCTCGCTCACCCACCCACCCGCTCACCCACCCGCTCACCCAGTCACCTGCTCGCTCACCCACCCACCCGCTCACCCACCCGCTCACCCAGTCACCCACCCGCTCACCAACCCGCTCACCCGCTCGCTCACCCGCTCACCCAGTCACCCACCCGCTCACCCAGTCACCCACCCGCTCACCAACCCGCTCACCCGCTCGCTCACCCACCCACCCGCTCGCTCACCCGCTCACCCAGTCACCCGCTCGCTCACCCACCCGCTCACCCAGTCACCCGCTCGCTCACCCACCTGCTCGCCCACCCACCTGCTCGCCCACCCGCTCTTCCACCCGCTCGCCCACCCGCTCACCCAGTCACCCGCTCGCTCACCCACCCGCTCACCAACCCGCTCACCCAGTCACCCGCTCACTCACCCACCCGCTCACCCACCCGCTCACCCAGTCACCCGCTCGCTCACCCACCCGCTCGCCCAGTCACCCGCTCACTCACCCACCTACTCGCCCAGTCACCCGCTCGCTCACCCACCCGCTCACCCACCCGCTCACCCGCTCGCTCACCCACCCGCTCACCCACCAGCTCACCCAGTCACCTGCTCGCTCACCCGCTCACCCACCCGCTCACCCAGTCACCCGCTCAATCACCCACCCGCTCACCCACCCGCTCACCCACCCGCTCACCCAGTCGCCCACCCGCTCACCCAGTCACCCGCTCGCTCACCCGCTCACCCACCCGCTCACCCAGTCACCCGCTCGCTCACCCACCTGCTCGCCCACCCGCTCACCCAGTCACCCGCTCGCTCACCCACCCGCTCACCAACCCGCTCACCCAGTCACCCGCTCACTCACCCACCCGCTCACCCAGTCACCCGCTCGCTCACCCACCCGCTCACCCAACCGCTCACTCACCCGCTCACCCAGTCACCCGCTCGCTCAACCACCCGCTCACCCACACGCTCACTCACCCACTCACCCAGTCACCCGCTCACTCACCCACCCGCTCACCCAGTCACCCGCTCACCCACCCGCTCACCCACCCGCTCACCCAGTCACCTGCTCGCTCACCCACCCGCTCACCCAACCGCTCACTCACCCGCTCACCCAGTCACCCGCTCGCTCACCCACCCGCTCACCCACACGCTCACTCACCCACTCACCCAGTCACCCGCTCGCTCACCACCTCACTCATGGGGTGACTCACGGGGTGACTCGTTCATCCGCCCGCTCAACCATCCGCTCAACCATCCACTCACAGGGTGACTCGCTCACCCGCCCACTCACCCGCTCACTCACGGGGTGACTCGCTCACCCGCTCGCTCACCCACACACTCACGGGGTGACTCGCCCACTCACCCGCTCACTCACGGGGTGACTCGCTCACCCGCTCGCTCACCCACACACTCAAGGGGTGACTCGCTCACCCGCTCGCTCACCCACACACTCACGGGGTGAATCGCTCACCCGCTCACTCACGGGGTGACTCGCTCACCCGCCCGCTCACCCGCTCACTCACGGGGTGACTCGCTCACCCGCTCGCTCACCCACACACTCACGGGGTGACTCGCTCACTCACGGGGTGACTCGCTCACCCGCTCGCTCACCCACACACTCACGTGGTGAATCGCTCACCCGCTCACTCACGGGGTGACTCGCTCACCCGCCCGCTCACCCGCTCACTCACGGGGTGACTCGCTCACCCGCTCGCTCACCCGCTCACTCACGGGGTGACTCGCTCACCCGCTCACTCACGGGGTGACTCGCTCACCCGCCCACTCACGGGGTGACTTGCTCACCCGCTCGCTCACCCACACACTCACGTGGTGAATCGCTCACCCGCTCACTCACGGGGTGACTCGCTCACCCGCTCGCTCACCCGCTCACTCACGGGGTGACTCGCTCACCCGCTCGCTCACCCGTTCACTCACGGAGTGACTCGCTCACCCGCTCGCTCACCCGCTCACTCACAGGGTGACTCGCTCACCCGCTCGCTCACGGGGTGACTCGCTCACCCGCCTGCTCACCCGCTCACTCACGGGGTGACTCGCTCACCTGCTCGCTCACCCGCTCACTCACGGGGTGACTCGCGCACCCGCTCACTCACGGGGTGACTCGCTCACCCGCCCGCTCACCCGCTCACTCACGGGGTGACTCGCACACCCGCTCACTCACGGGGTGACTCGCTCACCCGCCCGCTCACCCGCTCACTCACGGGGTGACTCGCTCACCCGCCCACTCACGGGGTGACTCGCTCACCCGCTCGCTCACCCGCTCACTCACCCACTCACGGGGTGACTCGCTCACCCACTCGCTCACCTACACACTCACGGGGTGACTCGCTCACCCACTCGCTCACCCGCTCGCTCACGGGGTGACTCGCTCACCCGCCCGCTCGCCCGCTCACTCAAGGTCTGACGGCCGTGGCGGGTGCAGGAGGTTCGGCGGATATGAGGACGACCGGCGGATAATAGGAGCCTCCGCTGCTTTTTTACCGCAGGTGACGGACGTGAAGGCGAAGCTGAAGGCGGCTCGCTCCTTCTGGCTCACGCTGCCCTACTCGGTGTGCAACAGCGACAAGGTCGCTGCGGCTCCCATGGGCTCTGATGACGGATGCTGGAACGGGCAGAGCATGGGGAGGTGAGACGGGGCGGGGGGTAGGAGATGTTGACTACCTCGCCTGGTACGCAGGAGGAGTCGTGGGTTCGATCCCGTACCCTGACAACGCCTGTTGTGTTTGGCGAGGTGGTGACTACCTCGCCTGGTACGCAGGAGGAGTCGTGGGTTCGATCCCGTACCCTGACAACGCCTGTTGTGTTTGGTGAGATGTTGACTACCTCGCCTGGCACGCAGGAGGTCGTGGGTTCGATCCCATACCCTGACAACGCCTGTTGTGTTTGGTGAGGTGTTGACTACCTCGCCAGGCACGCAGGAGGTCGTGGGTTCGATCCCGTACCCTGACAACGCCTGTTGTGTTTGGCGAGATGTTGACTACCTCGCCAGGTACGCAGGAGGTCGTGGGTTCGATCCCGTACCCTGACAACGCCTGCTGTATTTGGCGAGATGTTGACTACCTCGCCAGGTACGCAGGAGGTTGTGGGTTCGATCCCATACCCTGACAATGCCTGTTGTGTTTGGCGAGATGTTGACCACCTCGCCAGGCACGCAGGAGGGTCGTGGGTTCGATCCCCCGACCCCTGCTGTATTTGTCTTCAGTTTGTCGCCCTTCCATCGCGCGTCCGATGGGTGGCGGTTTGCCTCCGTCAGCGTCGTCACCGTCACCGTAAACCTCGACGCTGACCCTCTCATCCTTGGCGTGGGGACCACCACCCACCCACCACCACCCACCCACACCACCCACCCACCACCCCACCCACCCACCCACCAGGTACGCGCACGAGCTGGTGGGCGACGGGTTGGCCCGCCAGCGCGACAACCCCGAGGTGGCGGTGGACGTGACGCGCCCGGACCCCGTGGTGCGCCAGCAGATCATGGCGCTGCGCCTGGCCACCAGGCGCCTGCGTCAGGCCCACGCCGGCAACGACGTCCAGCTGCCCGGCTACGACGATGAGGGCGGCGACGACGGTGAGAGGCTTGACCCCCCCGTGACCCCGTTGACCCCCCCATGACCCCGTTGACCCCCCCCATGACCCCGTTGACCCCCCCATGACCCCGTTGACCGCCCCGCCTCTCCCCGCCCCGCCCCGCCCTCTCCAAACACAGAGGGGGACGGCAGCGGCTCCGGGAGCGGAGACTCGGAGGACCCCACGGCCGCCGCCGCCGCCGCCGCCGCCACTCGGCAACCCGACCGCGGCCGCGCCCGCGGCGGCGGCGACGCCGGCGCCGTGGGCGGCGGCGGCGTCGCGACGGCCGCGGCGTCGCTCGCCGCCGCCGCCGTGGTCGCCGCCGTGGTCGCCGCCGCGGTCGCCGGGGAGTTCTAGCGGTGAGAGGCGCCGGCGGAGAGACGGAGGAGGAGGAGGAGGAGGCCGAGCCGCCGTCTTCGGCGTCACCGGCGTCACCGGCGTCGCCGAAACGCCGTCCCTCTGCCGCCGCGGCCGACCGGGCCCTAGCCTGCCCGCCGCGGTGTCGGCGGACGGCGGCGTGTGGGGCGGGCGGTCCGATTGGCTGCGGGCGAGCGAGCGACCGGTTGCTCGAGTGAGTGAGTGATTGGTCAGTAGACTGAGTGAGTGAGCGAGTGAGTGAGTGAGTGATTGGTCAGTAGACTGAGTGAGTGAGCGGGTGAGCGAGTGAGTGATTGGTCAGTCGAGTGAGTGAGTGATTGGTCAGTCGAGTGAGTGAGCGAGTGAGTGAGTGAGTGATTGGCCAGTTGAGTGAGTGAGTGAGCGGGTGAGTGAGTGATTGGTCAGTCGAGTGAGTGAGTGATTGGTCAGTCGAGTGAGTGAGTGATTGGTCAGTCGAGTGAGTGAGCGAGTGAGCGAGTGAGTGAGTGATTGGTCAGTCGAGTGAGTGATTGATTGGTCAGTCGAGTGAGTGAGTGATTGGTCAGTCGAGTGAGTGAGCGAGTGAGTGAGTGATTGGTCAGTCGAGTGAGTGAGTGATTGGTCAGTCGAGTGAGTGAGTGATTGGTCAGTCGAGTGAGTGAGCGGGTGAGCGAGTGAGTGAGTGATTGGTCAGTCGAGTGAGTGATTGATTGGTCAGTCGAGTGAGTGAGTGATTGGTCAGTCGAGTGAGTGAGTGATTGGTCAGTCGAGTGAGTGAGCGAGTGAGTGAGTGATTGGTCAGTCGAGTGAGTGAGTGATTGGTCAGTCGAGTGAGTGAGTGACCGGTCTAAATGGATTTACGAGCGATTGACCGAGTGAGTGAGCGAGCGATTGACCGATCGATCGAGTGAATGAGCGAGCAAGCGATTGATCGATCGAGTGAGTGAGTGAGCGAGCGAGTGAGTGAGTGAGCGAGCGATCGATCATACGATCGAGTCGATCGCTCGATCGATCGAGCGATCGCTTTATCGGGCGGGCGGGCGAGCGAGCGAACAAGCAGGCGGGGATCGGTGGACGTTGCTGCGTTTTATTTTATTTTACTTTTTTATTTTTACTCCCGGTACCGCGCGGCGAGCCATTTCTCAGTCGGCGGGCAGACTCGGCGTGAAGTGAAACCTCCCGGAGTGAAGTGAACCCACTCCCTGTCCCCCCAACCCCCCTCCACAACCCGGGCAGGGATGGACGTCTCTTATTGTACGTTGAACTTCTTTCGCACCGTACGTAGCCGACCTTGGCGGCCGCGCGTTTCCTGGCGGGGTTTTGCGACTCCACCCCCCACACCCCACCCTCACCCTACCGGATTGGTAGTTTTTAGCGAACCGAGGGAGCTGAATTCACATGGGAAGGTTTTATAAAGTTAAACGAGATGTGAAAAAAAAAGGTTACGTTTTATTCCACGCAGGTGTAAGGCGGCGGGACCCCCACGCTGAGCGGCGGCTCGTCGTCGTTAATCATCGTTATCGTCGTCATCATCGTCGTTAATCATCATCATCGTTATCGTCGTCATCATCGTCGTCATCATCGTCGTCGTTATCGTCGTTAATCATCATCGTTATCGTCGTCATCATCGTTGTCATCATCGTCGTCGTTATCGTCGTTAATCATCATCGTTATCGTCGTCATCATCGTTGTCATCATCGTCGTCGTTATCGTCGTTAATCATCATCGTTATCGTCGTCATCATCGTTGTCATCATCGTCGTCGTTATCGTCGTTAATCATCATCGTTATCGTCGTCATCATCGTTGTCATCATCGTCGTCGTTATCGTCGTTAATCATCATCGTTATCGTCGTCATCATCGTTGTCATCATCGTCGTTATCGTCGTCGTCGTCATCATCGTCGTTAATCATCATCGTTATCGTCGTCAATCATCATCGTTATCGTCGTCATCATTGTCGTCATCATCGTCGTCGTTATCATCGTCGTCGTTATCGTCGTTGTCATCGTCGTCATCATCGTCGTTAATCATCATCATTATCATCGTTGTTATCATCGTCGTCGTCGTCATCACCGTCGTCGTTATCATCGTCGTTATCATCATCGTCGTCGTTATCATCGTCGTTATCATCGTCGTCGTTATCATCGTTATCATCGTTATCGTCATCATCGTCGTCGTCGTCGTCGTCGTCATCGTCGTCATCATCGTCTGGTGGGAATTTACAGCAGCAGCCAAAGAACTCTTAAACGCGTGGTGACGTCGATTCTGAATGTGGAGGCGGTGGAGGGGGGGGGGAAACCGGGGAGAGAGAGAGAGAGACGCCAAATAAACAGCAGCAGGCGTGGGTGAGGGTCCGGGATCGAACCCACGACCTCCTGTGTACCAAGCGAGGTCGTTAACATCTCCTAGCCACCGTGATGATAATGAGAGAGAGAGACAGAGAGATACACAAACTCCAAATACACAGCAAACGTCAGGGTCAGAGCCAGGATCGAACCCACGATCTGCTATATACAGGCGAGGTAGTCAACATCTCCTAGCCACCGTGATGATGATGAGAGACACGCAAACTCCAAATATACAGCAGGCCTCAGAGCCGGGATCGAACCCACGATCTGCTATATACCAGGCGAGGTAGTGAACATCTCCTAGCCACCATGATGATGATGATGAGAGAGAGACACGCAGACTCCAAATATACAGCAGGCGTCAGAGCCGGGATCGAACCCACGATCTGCTATATACCAGGCGAGGTAGTCAACATCTCCTAGCCACCGTGCTGATGATGATGATGAGAGAGACACGCAGACTCCAAATATACAGCAGGCGTCAGAGCCGGGATCGAACCCACGATCTGCTATACACCAGGCGAGGTAGTCAACATCTCCTAGCCACCGTGATGATGATGATGATGAGAGAGACACGCAGACTCCAAATATACAGCAGGCGTCAGAGCCGGGATCGAACCCACGATCTGCTATATACCAGGCGAGGTAGTCAACATCTCCTAGCCACCGTGATGATGATGATGATGAGAGAGACACGCAGACTCCAAATATACAGCAGGCGTCAGAGCCGGGATCGAACCCACGATCTGCTATACACCAGGCGAGGTAGTCAACATCTCCTAGCCACTGTGATGATGATGATGAGAGACGCGCAAACTCCAAATATACAGCAGGCGTCAGAGCCGGGATCGAACCCACGATCTGCTATATACCAGGCGAGGTAGTCAACATCTCCTAGCCACCGTGATGATGATGATGATGAGAGAGACACGCAGACTCCAAATATACAGCAGGCGTCAGAGCCGGGATCGAACCCACGATCTGCTATACACCAGGCGAGGTAGTCAACATCTCCTAGCCACTGTGATGATGATGATGAGAGACGCGCAAACTCCAAATATACAGCAGGCGTCAGAGCCGGGATCGAACCCACGATCTGCTATATACCAGGCGAGGTAGTCAACATCTCCTAGCCACCGTGATGATGATGAGAGAGACACGCAGACTCCAAATATACAGCAGGCGTCAGAGCCGGGATCGAACCCACGATCTGCTGTATACCAGGCGAGGTAGTCAACATCTCCTAGCCACCGTGATGATGATGATGAGAGAGACACGCAGACTCCAAATATACAGCAGGCGTCAGAGCCGGGATCGAACCCACGATCTCCTGCGTGCCAGGCGATGCTGCTGCTCACAGATTGGCTGAATGTTTTGGCCAATCGTAACGTCCTTCCTCCCCCTCCTCCACCACCTCCACCTGTTCATCCTCTACCACCTCCTCCTCCCGCTCCTCCTCCACCTCCTCCCCCCACTGTTTGCCGTCGTCATCGCAGTAGAGGGGTGACGTTGGCTGCTGCTGCTCCTGCTGCTGCTGTGGTCTAGCCTTCGGGGCACTCCCAGCGGCAGCTGTCCCTCTGTGACACACAGTGCCATTGTCAACGAAGGAAACTGAAATTTTTAAAAAACTTCACACCACTCACACACACCACCCACATACACACGCCACACCACGCACATACACGCGCCACACCACGCACATACACGCGCCACACCACGCACATACACGCGCCACACCACGCACATACACGCGCCACACCACGCACATACACGCGCCACACCACGCACATACACGCGCCACACCACGCAACATACACGCGCCACACCACGCACACCACCCACCCTGGAAACTCGTCGGGAACGGTGAAAATCGGGTACCGGCGGTCGCCGATCGGTTTACGGTTACCGTTTTATTTTCCCTCGCGCGCGTTACTCTCAGACGAACTTTGTTGACAAAATAGTGTTTGTTTGTTTGTTTTTTTAAAGTTAAAACTGAGAACACGGTACGGAGCACAAAAGAGTCACGGTTAGGGCGTGCGCGCTCTCTCTCCAAAAACTTTAACCGACGGCTTGCTAATAATAACAGCAGGGGTTTTTCCCCTGTTTTTTTTCTTGCAACAAAACTGAAACCTTTCTACGAGGATTCGCGTTTTACTGCACTCACCCACAATACCCGCGGTCAAAATGCAAACGAAAAACAACACACACACACACTGTGATAATATATGTGGCATTGCCCTCGAAACTGATTGGTGCACACCAACGGTGGCGGCTTTCTTTCGAGCCTCGACCCCCCCCCAAAAAAACAAGATAGCCGGTCCCTTGCTTGTGGACCAATCGGGTGCGAGGGCAGTGCATCATATATCATCGCAGCGCGTGTGTTGTTTTTCGTTCGCATTTTAATCCGCAGCTATCGTGGTCAAGGCGGTAAACGCGAATCCTCGTAAAGAGGTTTCAGTTTTTGTTGCCGGAGAGAAAAAAACCCCCCTACTGTTATCACATTTTGGTACTGGCAAAAGGGAGGCCTAACGATGAAGCCGACTTGCTTTTAACGTTTTCTTTATTTTTGATTTAAAGCTTTCGTGACTGCAGTAATTCATATTCTTAGTTTTTTCGGTAAAGTCACGTTGAAGAGAAACAACAAAATAATAA